TTTCAAGAGTCTGAACTCTAGATCCAATGTGTTTTTTTCCCCAGTGTGTTCCATCAAGGAGGGTCTTTTGGCCTTAACTTTGGTCGCAAATTGAAACAGCTTAGAATAATATCAAGTATGGTCAGATCGACTCTTAATCATCTACCCTGTGAGAACTTGCCCTTATTTGAGGTGTTTTTGAGGGGAAAAAACCCCTCAAAAACCCCTCAAAAACCCCTCAAAAACACCTCAATTGATGCCTGATTTACCAGCGCAAAGTAGTGAAGTTTTGCAGTTTCCTCGAATAATTGCTCATTTTCGGTCCTAAATTGTATATGTATGAGCACAAGCAACTACCAGTTTCATATTCGAATATGCTAATCTTTAGTACACCCATTACAATATATTTAAAGGAGAAAGTGTTAGTCACTTGTGCTCATACATTAAAAATTTAATTTAGGACCGAAAATGAGCAATTATTCGAGGAAACTGCAAAACTTCACTACTTTGCGCTGGTAAATCAGGCAAAAACCCCTCAAAAACACCTCAAACAAGGACAAATTCTCACAGGGTAGATGATTAGGAGTCGATTTGACCATACATGATATTACTCTAAGCTGTTTCAATTTTCGACCAAAGTTAGAGCCAAAATACCTTCCTTACGGACACATCCTCTTGAAACATGACGAAATAATCATCAAGATTTGAAGTTCTTATAAAAAATTTCATGTTCGACCTCTCTATTTGACCCGATATCACTGTGCGCCGTCTCGCCCCGTCACTCGCCCTGCATATCCCTGCAACCCTCGTTAACCCCTCTCCATTGCTTGACCACCTCGATGCCACCCTGACGATGGGCTCCTCGGTTTCTTGTGAGGGCACGACCTCATGACCCTGTGAAACAATCAGTTTTAAAGTCGCAGGTCCATACTGCCGTGCTATGGAAAAACGCTGTATAAGCATTCCGAAGTTGCCAAATTTTCTCCGATAAAATGTTAATTTTTGAGGAAAATTATGAATATGTTTTCTTGAAATTTTCAGAAATTTAGATTAAATTACAAACAAAATATCTGAGAAATTGGTAGACAAACATTCAAAAATTTTCCTGAAAATTAGCGATTTGGAAGGATAAATTTAGATGAAAACCATGCTCAAAAATGCAAAAAAATGTCTGTTTAATATGATTGGACTCCTTCGTGAAACTGAGTTTGAAATACGATAATGCCATTGTTTCCTGTAAAATTAAAAATTAATTCTCAAATAGGAATGAAAGTGGTGGCTATGATAGTGCAACAAGAGACAATTGGAGGTAATCCTATAAAACGGAACTATGAGCATTAAGGCATGAGCCCTGAGACTCATAATAATACACGTACGAGGTCTGTTAGATTGGAAACCGGATTTTGGTCATAACTAGCCCACAATGCGTTCGATTTAGGGTTTCTTGAGCTTTTCTGATAGCTAGAAATATACTTAAGAACGCTACGTTCACAGATTTTGTTTATTTTGATCAGTGTTTATTCTGTGTCATCTTGAATACGAATAGGTCAGGTGCGTTTTGCGATTTTCAGCATGCGATCACTAATAGAGCAAAGACTCAACATTTAATTTTGTTTTAAACTCGGTATAATCTGTACCGAAACTTTTGGTATGCTAAGTAAAGTTTACCAAGATCATTGTATGAGATGTTCCCACTGTTTTGAGTGGGTTAAACGATTCAAAACTGGTCAGAAGTTCGTCAAAGATGAGGAGCATGGGAATCGACCCTCAACGGCAACTGACATTTGTCACGTGGAAGAAGTGCGAGCAAAAGTGCTCGAAAATGGTCGTTTCGAGCTTGTTGAACAGAGTAATATTTCTGAAGGCTCTGCACATACAATTTTGATAGAATATGTAAACACGCATCGAGTTTCAGGTACACTTGCCCCTTGATTGTTGTCCGTTGAACGAAAATCCAACCAATTGTCAATTTCCCTTTAGCTGCTTGAACGTTTTAACAATGATCCTACATTTTTGGATGGGATAATTTTCGGTGAAAATACTTTAGTGTACGGCTACGATATGGAGACGAAACTCCAATCGTCCTTGTGGGTTCAAAAATGTAGTGCAAGACCGAAAAAAGAGAGACAAGTTCGGTCAAACATAAAAATCGCAAAACACCCTTGAGGTTGCCTAACTTCAAGCCACATACCAACAAAGCTAATTATGATTTTTCAAATTTGTGAACGTAGCGTTCTTTAATATGTTTTCAGCTATCAGAAAAGCTCAAGAAAACGTAATTTGGACCCATAGTAGGCTAGTTATGACCAAAATCCGGTTTCTAATCTAACAGACCTCGTATAGCAGGGCTCATGTCATAATGCACATAGTTCCGTTTGATAGAGATACGTCCAATTTCGAGAGAGTACTCTTTTTCATAGAAAATTTGCTTCGTTATTGGATTACCAGTTTGACCGTAGGTGAGTTCACATAGCCTGGAATGTACTATCCTTATGCCGTTAACTTTGCGATCTGCCACAGTAAGCTCTTCAGAACTCAAACGAACAATATGCTGACAAAGTGAATTCCTATTATCTCCGAGTTACCCCGCATGTAATTGAGTCACTAACGTTACTTTGTTGTAGGTAGTTGGAATAACTTCAACGTTTGTCTTTTCATAACTCGGTTGATCTGTTTTACGTTTTATTTTGCATTGTAAATCCTCCATCCTTGCCGACCTTGCAGTTGTTTTACGAAGATCAAAGAGATTCCTCTTCAAAGGATCGAAGGAAATTTATCAAAGAAAGGCCGGCAAGTCTTATGTTTTGTCTCTAAGGTTCATGCAGAATATTATAGAAAAGGAATTGCGTTGCTCCTAGTTTAATTTTTAGAATTTTTAAAAATGAGGGACACAGTAATTCATGAGGGGAGCGATCATCATTGGAGATGTGTCGTATTTGGGACCCTCTATAGATTCTTGCAAAAAAGAGGGAAATTTTCATTAATCACAGTTTTAGGACGTGATCAACATTTTCCGTAATTCATGCGCTGAAAATTGTTTCCATCCACAAAGCTGAAATTTTTTTGCACATGTTCCTTATGTAACATCACAAATGTAACAGATTTCCCGAATTCTAGTTGTATTATTTTCCAAATGATAGTTTAAATCTTTGAAACCTTTAAAACCTAAACTGGCAATATACTCCTGTTATCGTCAAATCACGCCGTGACACGAATCTATAACTAACGGAACTATTTTTATGCTCCTCATTCATCGTCAACAAAGCACTGGTTAGCAGCTCATCCTTCTTAGACTCAGAAAACAAGAAGTAATGAATCAAACATTGTATTTGAAGCTGAAAACAGCATAATCACCATCGCCTCCAATGCGCAAGGCTAAATCAATTGGAGATTTGAATACGACTATTCGCGCGTCAAAGTAGTCATTTTGCATAGCCAGTCAACTGAAGGCGACTCCTCGATTCGCGCTGTCTGGAACTGGTGGTCGTATTCATAAGTCATTCCTTGAATGTTGAGGCCTTTTTAACTGATGCATTTAATGGGCCTGTTGCAAACTTTTGCTAGAGCAAAACTAAGAGTTGTTTCTTATAGATAATGCCTCAAAAATCACGATGAGCGCATCGGCAAAGTCTGAAATGCACTCATAACTTCACAAACTGCGTAAGAAATTTGCGGTTTTTTGAGCTTCCCGCTTCAAAAACGATACTACGGCACAGGTGAACATTTTGTAAGAGGAGTCGTTCCATCGTCGGCAATAATCATCATAGCCGACGCCAATCCGCCAAAACACGTTTGATGGGACGAGATAACACCTGAACTGGATTAGACCAGATAACAATCGGTGTGTTAACGTTCATATTTTCCACGCCCGAATTGATTGACCTTGAACTCTCCTTGAATTACGCGCGGAACTGCGTGCAAGCGTCGGCCATGATGAATATCGCCGACGATGGAGCGACTCCTCTAACAAAATGTTCACCTATGCCGTAGTATCGTTTTTGAAGCGGGAAGCTTAAAAAAACGCAAATTTCTTACGCAGATTGTGAAGTTATGAGTGCATTTCAGACTTTGCCGATGCGCTCATCGTGATTTTTGAGGCATTATCTATAAGAAACAACTCTTATTTTTGCTCTAGCAAAAGTTTGCAACAGGCCCATTCTTACGTATTGAGGAGACACCGAAAAGAAAGTGAAGTTAATTTAACATTCTGAATGTAAAAAAAGTGTGCGAGAACTTATAAAATGCTGAATTACCCGCTACAGCAGTTACTTTAGCAATGCCAAGATATGAAACTAACTGCTGCGGTGGGAGATTTACATTTTATAAGTTCTAAAACTCTTTTTCTACATCCGGAATGTTAAATCAACTTCACTTTTTTTCTGTGGACCTAAAAAAATGGAACAACCCTGGATATGATCCACGCGAGTATATACAATTTTTTTTTTTTGGTTGGTTGGTTGAATGATCGACTTATAAGGAAAGAGTCGCAATTTGAGAAATCTATTACCTCAGCAGGTTGATTATTGAAATTAATAACATATATTTTGGTTTTCTTGTATTTTAATATATATTTAAACAATAGATTGCTGATTTAACAATTGAATTGTTCAAAAATATGTTCGACATGTTGCAATGCCAATTTCATAATACAAAATGCTAATTTAATCACCCTCGTGGTTAAATTAGTTTTCAACTATTGTAAAATCTACCTTCGAAACATGTCGGACATATTTTTTAACAATTCAATTGTTAAATCAGCGATTTCGTTTTTTTTTTCGGTGATTTTCGTCAATATCCCGAGGTCATCTGGTCAGTGTAAACCAAAAATGATATATTAAAAGTCTCTTAACGGCCCGCAAAATATTAATGAAGACGGGCAGAAGTGCCGTCATTTCCGGTCTATGTTATCTGTATGAACTGGAGATATTGACGAAAAAAATGTCCAATTTTTTCCCGTGATATTGATACTGTTCCTGTTTCCACGATTTATGACTAAGGATAGTTTAATATTTTTTACTCACCGACAGGAAAGTCGTTGGGCTGAATGACCCGGAACAGGAAACCGAAGTAGTCGTACGGCAGGAAGTCCTCAGGGACACGGGTGCTGTTCTCAACAGGCTCCATTTCCGGTGCGTCGGGGAACTTGATGACGCGACGCTTGATCTCCAGAAGCTCGTCGTGGAAACGCGACTTGACGGTCGAGCGACCGATCGACGTCATCGAACGACCGGATGACGTCATCAAGCGACCGGAAGACGTCACGCCGACCACTTCCCTCTCGTTGCGCGGGTCCGCGAAGTTGGCGGCCTCCCCGAGGAAGGACTCCGGGTCGCGGAGACGCAGAGGCGAAACATCCGGGTCGATCAGACTTGGTTTCCGGTCCAACCGGAAGTCGAGAGGCGGACCGGAAGTAGGCGCCTTGTCACCGGAAGTTGGCTCGCGAAGCCTGGAGAAGAGTTTCCGGCGATCTGAGGTGTTGATGTTTGAATCCTCCCGATAGAGGAAAACAGGCGGACCGGAAGTTGAGATTTGGAGACCGGAAATCGTATCGCTGTGCCGTGAAAGGTATTTCCGGTGATTAGAAATGTCGAAATTTGAATGTTCACGATAGGGGAAATCTGGAGGACCGGAAGTTGAGATTTGGAGACCGGAAATCGTATCGCTGTGTGGTGATGGGTATTTCCGGTTGCCGGTATTGAGCTTGTGGTGGATGGATGATGGTTCAGAGAGACCGGAAGTTAACTGACCTCGGTCATTCGATAGGTGCGATGAGCTATGCAGTGTATTCTCTGGAACTTGATGGGCGTCAGGCAGACTCTCAGGTTTTTCTAATTTTAAACTGTTCAATACTTCGAATGGTGACGGTTTTGAATCAGAATTTTTGTTTATTTTTCTCTCAAAATCGAAAGTGGCATGATCGTCTCGAAAGTCGTTACGATGTCGGTTGTTCCTTCCATCTTGGTCGCTATCGTGTTTGAGGTGCCCAACAACATCAGACGTTGTTTTTAAGGTGAGGGGAGGCGTTTTTGCCGGCTCAGCACTAGGAGGCAGAGGTCTGTTATGATAATCAGAAAAATAATTCATTTTAGCAGATTTCGATGCACTGCTATCTCTCTCCTCCAAATCCAACGGATAAACCGGTTCCTTAAAATTCGAGAATTTCGGTGCACCGTCAAAATCAGGGAGAAAATCACCGGCTTCCTCTGAAAATTTTAAAAATCTATCATGCTCATCAATGCCATCCATTCCGTGCTTTGAAAACTTAGATTTTTGTACTCCATCGCCAGAGCTATCAAAATCATCATAATTGGCATTTCGATTAAAATAGGTATCAAAAGATTGTTTTAATGACTCAAAGCTTGATCCACTGGCTCCTGCACTTTCAAAGTCCGATTGCTTTTCGAAACTCGGCGTGAGGTCCAAATCTAGATCGTAGATATCCTCATACTTTGCTTTGCTCAACCCTGGATCATCCCTCCCATTTGTCAAATCTAATTTGATAAAATTTTTGTCTGCGTCTGATTTTACTTTAAACCTATCGTCAGTTTTTATCTGAATAGCCCTTTCCTCAAAAACGGGGGTTCCCAAACTTATTCCCGAAGCTTTTCCATCTATTTCCGGCAGCTTTTCCGAACTCATAGGCGGCTTCGTCACTTGTTTAGCGGACGCCGTCTCGTCAAGGTCTCCATCCTGCCTCCGATATACATCGTCGAATCTAAACCACAGTTTCTCGTCCTCCGAACCGGAAACGGAGTTTCCCGCATCCGGTTTCAAGTCCAAACCGGTTGTCACCTCTGCGTCGACGTTTTTCAGGCTGATCAACGACTGCAAGAACTCGTTACCGATGTACATGGAATCGTGGTGCGTTTCGTTACTGATACTCAGCAGGTACACAGCATCATCGGAAGTCGTCTCAATTTCCGGTCGCGTCATTTCCGGTCGCGACATTTCCGGTCGCGACATTTCCGGTCGCGACATTTCCGGTCGCGACATTTCCGGTCGGCGCGTCGTCGCCGGAACCGGTTCGTTCTTTTCTTCCTCCGCGAAGTGGTCGTAAATCTGGAAGGCTTTGCTCTTCAGGTAGTCCAAGAAACTCCGCCCCTCGAGCTTCGCTTGTTGTCGCATGGAAACCGGTTCGGGGGCTTGGGCCGACTTTTTCACCAACCGGTCTTTTTGCGAGAGGGCCGCGCCCAAAGCGCTTCCGGTTTTCCGGTCGATTCCGGTGACATTCTCCCGCTTCAGGAACACGCTCAGCGCTGGAGAGGGAACCTCATCGTTCTGATAATTCTCGGCCAGGACCTCCTCGTCCCGCAGGAAGAAATCCAGCTCTACGCTCTGGGAGTAATTCAGAGCCGCGTCGGACGGGATTTGGTCATCTATGTACTCGGGCTCGAATTTCCTCTCGAAATCGTTTTCCGTCGTGGGATTTTCGGCCGGGACTCCATTCCCGGAGCCCGTTTTCTGCGCTCCCGAGGGACCATCCGTCCGACCGGATATTGTCTCAGGGTCGTTTCCGCCGGAAGTTGTCATCGGGCCGGAAACTGGGACCGAATTAACATCAATTGTAGGTCTTTCCTCATCTAGATTTTCGTCTTTTTCCCCGACAATTTTCGTGGACTGAATATCTTCGGGTTTCGTTTGAGGGCATTTTTTCGTAATATCTTGTTCCAAATTCGGAGACCCTCGACAATATTCTCGCCGATCCGGGGTTATAGACTCACCCGTCACTGAAATTTTGACAGTTGGGCGTGTTTTATTCAACTCAACTTTGTCCAATCCACGGTTTTCGCCACCGTGCATAGATTTATTCTGCAATCCTGCCCTGAAAGAAGCTGGATTTTCTTTAATATTTTCAGTGCCGTCTTTCGAGCCGATAGAATTGTCGTTTCTTATCAGTTTCTCAGTCATAGAGCTTGACGTTGAGTAAGTATTTGATTCTGGAGTAATATTTGAAGTGCTTTTTACTATCTGGCTTGACCGATCCTCGAAATTATTCTTTGCCGTGGTGAATAGCTGAGCCACAAACTCTGAGTCTTGTGAACTATATTCCGAAGTAACTTTTATTTCTCGGTATTCCTCAATGGTTATTCCTTCACGATTTGCTTTCTTAATTAAAGAAACATCCAGATTAGATTTTTCTCCGTTCGGGAATTGCTCACTAGATGTCGATGCTACACTTTGATTATAATTATCCTCACCGCCGTGAGTTGACGCTGGTATTCCAGTCTCACTTTTTTGTGGATTTGGACTTGTGGTAACTTTTGTATCCCATTGAAGAGAATAATCTCCCGTAATGGATGCTGTCGGCTCACCGGAAACATTGTAAATATCTCGATTTCCGGTTGAAGTCACAACCGGTATCTCGGTGACGCGACGAGCATATTTCACGGTATTTCCTAAGTTGTTTCCCATGTTCTTGTGGTCGGTCTTCATATCACACTGAGACGTGACGATAAAACTCAGAAGACCAAGAACGTAAATTGACCTCTGGGTCGACGCCATGGTTCAAAAAGGCTTACGGAGGAAAATTAAAAAGAAGTTGACTCTCGTCACGTTTAGATGAGGTTTATTTGCCCTTTTTATCGCCGAATTCAGTGGGAAACTCAATGTAGTATTTCGGATATCTTCCGGAGGTAAAAGTTTTACCTGTGAATCAACGTTGTGCGGTCACGAGGAAGACTCGTTGGTCAAAACTTGGATGCACATTAGAGAACGATTTGGTTCCATTTGGTAAAAAAACTGAGCATAGATTTTGATCCAATAGTTGAAAATTTAATTTACGAAAGTTTTGATGCCATTTTTTTTAGGTGTGAGAAAAAGCGACGAATTGACTGTATAGATGCTGTTCGTCTAGTTTGCTTTGGTGTGCCTCTCGCTTCGCAACTTCTTAAATAGTGTCAAATTTTAATACAAAAATGAAATTCTGAAGATCTAAAGTTTTCACTTTGCTCATTTTACACTGCAGTCCAACGTGAGTGAATGCTGTTTTTACTTCACAAACAAATGTTTGGGTCCATAACAACTGAACTTTCAAAGTAAGATGCCTTAAAAGAAAAGTTCACTACGAAGCGATACTTTGAATGACTTCGCATCACTGCGAGTGATCCGTATAGAAATTTTCGTTGTCGCACTGAAAATAATCTCTTAAAGAATGAAAATGTGATATGAATATTTCCCAAGACGGAGCTTGAACCGAAGATACGCTTATCTCGGTCAGCGACGTTCCAGATTTCTTGTTATACTTAATGTTCTAAATAAAAAACTACTGAACATCCTTTCTTCACATTTTCGGTAGTTTCTTTTACTGCGTATGAAGAATTGTCTGTGATAATTTTTGAGATATTATTTTGACTTAGAGTGGCGTTTCTGGTCGACAAAATATTTTTTTTGGACTTAAAGAAACGTTGTTTTGTTATAGTTTTTTTAACTTGCGCTTAACGATGGCATAACGACGCTTTTTTAACTGAGAAAAAATGACGTTGAGTTGAATCCGCACGGATAACTAAAAAAGAATCAAATTTTGTCAACAAGAAACGACGTTAAATTTTTTTCCGTTACTTGCGGTAAAATTTTTAATAGAAAGTTGCAAGTAGCACCCCCACCTCCCCCATGAAGTTTCTATAAGAAACAATGCTTCTAGTCAAAATTATATCTCAAATTTGTTTTTCTTAGTGAATGGTTTCTTTCCTAACACTAAAAGAAAAAGTTCGGTCATATGAACTGAACGTTTGGTGTTTCGGTGTTCATATCACCCTAACTATTCCGTTTGTCAAACTAAACTTTCCGTTCATATAACCGAACATTCAGATCATATGACGAAACCTTTTTTATCAGTTCACTTTGGTTTCAGGACATTCCGTCAACGATTTTTTGTCCGGGCACCTGTTTAGTCCAGTAATTTACGTCCACGCGCAAAATAAAAAAAAACAGTGACTTGGTCCAAAGGATATATTTCAGTCCGTATGTAAAATTATATTGATAATATCGAATTAGAAAATTGGGAGAGAAGAAAGTGTTGGTATGGTAACTCATTTTTTTAATGAGATATTACTTTCTTCTTTTGATTCATGTTTCAAATTTTCATTGGTGAATATTTGGTTTTTTTTCTATCTATAAAATTGTCGATTTAAAATATACCTTATATATTCCTTTTTTTAAATGATAATATCACTTCATTTTAAAAACATTATATTTTTAAATCGTGGCAAATATTTTTAAAACCTTTTCCAAGCGACGGCATCGTTATTAATCTCAATGAGCCGTACTTGTGTTGAAAGGACTTATACAAAAATGAAAAAGAGAGAGAAAAAACCAAAGAGGACGCAATCTTTGGTTTTAACCCACTTTTACATCGATCTTTCACAATCAAACACGTCCAATTTTGAGCGTTTGATTGCGAATACACCACGCTGCAGCACAGTAAAAGCACAAAATATAAAAGAAATATTGGAAAGCTTTGAAAATTATTAAATTAGACACGGAACCACGTTAATACTTTCAAAACACTAGTTATATTTTCCTTTAATAAATATTTTTTTTCTTCATCAATTTAAATGAGAATAATCCGTGCAGAGCGTGCAAACATTTCAAAATCATGAGTTGAAAAACGCTGATTCTGTGAGTTTAAATATTAGAGTCTAACTTAAGAGCAAAATGCGCACTGGCGCCTACAAACCCAACAGGATACTTCACGCGTTGCGCAATGCGTGAAGTATCCCTGTTGGGTTTGTAGGCCCCCATGCGCGTGTCACGCTGGTCGCCCGCCGCGCCGCAGAGTGCTACGGCGTTTCAAGCAACTATTTCGCGACATAGGTGTGGCACAGTATCATACGAGATTGAAGGCGCTCCAATGTATCAAGAATGACAAGCTTCCTTCAAGGGTACAGAGCTTTCCTTGCAAAATAAATCAAGATACTACGTTACAAAAAGAGAGCGGTAATCTAAAAAACTCACCTTAGTCCTAGCATCCGTATTTAATAACGTTTAGCATAATGTTTGAATTTCATTACAGAAAAATGTGACTCGTTTTAGGCAGAAGCATTCTTGAGTATGCCGTCAAGAAGATTTTATTTTGAATCAAGAATAAAATACCTGAATGAAAGCGGGTTTCTGCTTGATCTAAGTAACTTTTCTTTTTATTTAAGCATCCTTTTTTCTCTAAACAGGCATTATTTTCTTTATTGATTTATAAGGAAATCTTCTCGGCGGTAAATTTGAGCATATTTCTGCTCGAATCAAGCCACTTTTTCCTCTAATTACGCTCAAAAATCATGCTAAACGTTGCTGGGTCCAGATACTAGGACTTAGCAAATTTTTCGACTACAGCTCTCTTTTTTCGTCGTCACTCGATTTAA